TTAAACTTAAGTGAAATATGGGGTCAATATAGTAATGATGATATCTCTGTTAAGGAATCTATGCGGTTTCATATTAAGAAACTAAAAAGGTTGTGTATCGTTTGATTTTCAGAGAATATTTATTAAGTACTGAGTTGGAATAAATTTAGATAGTAATCACCGTAATGTCGATATTTGTATATTCTAACGAACAGAATACTTAATAACTGAAAAAGCATTTTTTTTTCCCTTACAAAACTTGTTGTATTCTATAACGTAACTGTAATAGAGTTTTTTTTTTTTTTGAAATAACTATAAAGATTATTTCCGGGCAAGTATGCTATTCAATATATTTTAAATATTATATATATAAAATTGATATATGGAATTGTAGCATTAGCATACTCGCTTAGAAGTAATTTCTCTATAGCATAGATTTTTTTCGTGATTTGTTTTATCTAATTTCAAGTTTAACAACAAGTATTACTCAAATATAAGTAGATAGTAATAGTACTTGATAGTATAGATGGATTATTGATATTACTTTCCAGATCATCAAATGCAACAATATCAATATATTTTTGGAAGAGATAATAGTGGTTTTTCGGATTTAATTCTCGAAAAGTGGATAAAAGTTTGAAATTTTACTCTCGATTATTGCCGGCTGCATTACTTACTTGTTGTTGAAATGTTAGAAGTATTTACTTGTAAAAGGACGATAGAAAGATTTATTCTATCTGTTCACTTCTTGCTGTTTTAATGATGGCTTCAACGATGAGTCTCGAACTATTTCTCACTTCACTGCGGCATTTCTACAATCATTACAGCTGTTTTTATCATTATATTTGAATATGATGATGATTAAAAGTAATAAATAATAATAATAATAATTAAGAAATAAATATATTATTATTAATTATTATTTGCATTATTGATCGGTACAGTAATTGTCTTAATCAAATTTTATTATTATATTATTGGCAACTTTTGAAGAAAGAAAAACATTTCTACTTTTAGCTTTATTTTGCTTTTCTTCTATTAATTCATCAGTGCAATCATTTGCAGTATTTTTGATAAATCGAATAGTCTTAATCTGAGCTTATTGTAATCATATGAAATATTATGATTTTTTATACCCAATATTGTGTTTTATAATTGGGTTTTTAATCATATATTATTGACTGGACACTACTTTAATCATTGTTCATCATCCATCCATAATCACTTTCTGTATTTGCTATAATCAGATATAGCATTGCTTACTGTATTATACATGTACCGAATAATCGTCCAGTCGCCAGTGATTATTTTCATCCTAATTATCACTATCATCATTATCAGTGAGATAACGGCGATATACGACGAGAACAAAAATAATACTTATCATCATAATCGTGAAAATAAGTACAACAGTAATATTAATAATAATAATAAAAATAATAATAATAATGATACGATTCCCATCTGGGGACGAGAAAGACAAAGCTTTCTCAGAAGAGCAACGCTTTTACTACTTGAGGCTGATGGCCAAGCCATCAGAAAACAAGAACGAGCCAATAAAAGCCAAATTTGTGCGTTGGGCACCACAATGTCCTCAACAAAGCAGCGTTGAAGGTGATCAGGAACTCGAGGTATGTTCACGTAAAAATCAGCTCTACGTCAAAATCACGTTGCAGTTATATTCAGATCATAACTACATCTGCAATTCGCTTTCTACATGAACTAATCATTTTAATAATTTTTTCATGCAACGCAATGCAGAAATTACTACTACTAAGTATTATTTAACAAAAAGTATTCTTTTTTAATATATTTTAATGAGTAATTAATCAAAATGAATCTCATGTTGAAATATAAAATAGATTTAAAATACCAGTTGTTTTTTCATATTAATTGCAATTACTTTTCAAATATCTAGCAAATTTTTTCTATTTTTTCAAATGTTAAAATTATATAAGTTTTAAGGCACTTATTCTAAACTTCCCTGTAACACTTGCCTCAGTCGTGTTTTTTTTTACAGCAATTTTTTGCTTTCTGAAGTAGGTAGAACTTCAGAAAGCAGTTTTCTTTAAGCTCTTCACTGATATAATAATAATTGTAATTGAAACAAAATTAGTAAAGGTAAGCAAAAGTAATTTCAAATTGAACGCTCAATCTTCTTAGAAAAATGCTTATGTTTATTAGAAAATAAATCAGTAATGGGAAATAAATTCTTTTTCTTTGGTTAATACAAGTAATAATATTTATATTTATATAAATAAACTCGTAATAAAACCAATTATACGAGTATGCAACTTTTGTTATTAAATTTGAAATTACTTCGGAAGGAATGACTTGTTTATTAAATAGACTGATGTAAAATAAATTTTAGTAAATTTTTTCTGTGGTAATTTTTCAAAGATTTTTAAATTGCAATATTGTTAATTCTGAGAATGAATTTGGGCTTTGTATTAAAGTTTGCTTAGTAGATGGAAAATTATCGGACATTTGCCAGGATTCATTGCCATAAATGGTCAGATTGCAAGATTTGTTAATATTTTACATTTATTGAAATATCCGATATTCTTGCTGATGTATACTGTAATTAATAGTTTTTGTAACGAATATGCGCAATGTGATCCGTGCACTTCAAA